CCCTGGTTCTTAGAACTAATTTCTTATCCTTAAAAAAAGAAAGTTAATTGTGCAGATGCTGATGAGACACTACAACCCCAGTACTATGAAGTTGGAGACAGGAGTTCAAAGCCATCTTCAGCCATGGAAGTGAGTTCAAGGCTAGCAAGGACTACAGGGGATTGTGTCTCAATGACAAAAACACCACAAAAATTTGATGGTGTTAGGTCTTGGAAATGAACTTTCAAGGTCCAATTTTATAGGTGTACATAACTATCCCTGGCATCCTCTTTTTGGGTTTTCTTTATCAGTGTGCTTACAAAGGCTATGGTGGGATGCAATAGGATAAGAAGCAAAGCTAGAGGGTTTCACTCTAAATTATTTAGAGCCCCAAAGGAATATATTTGTCAGTTTTCTGGAAAATTTAGAGCACCTTTTAGCATAAAGCTTAATATTATAGACCTGAATTTTCCTCCTGAGCTATGTTATATGACTTTAGATCCAGACATATAAAAAGTTCTAGATTACTGTGTGTGAGTCAAATGATCACGTTCCTTTTCTGTTCCATCATATTCTTGTTCATTTCTCTCAGCCACCACCACAGGAATTGTGGTTAAAATTAGTAAATTTATTAACATCTGGCAAGATTCCCTGGGACATAGTCACATGGATTTTCCTATTCCTCCTTTGAGATATGACTTAGTTTGAAACCTGAAGTGTTTATTAATGAATTAGAGGATAGGGAAGGAAAGAAAGAAATTCATTAAAACTAGCCACTAAAATAACACCTCCCTTCAATCCATAGCAAATACTTCAGCTCTCTGCACACACACACACACACACACACACACACACACACCATGATAGATATTTAAGTGACTTCCCAGCAGCCAATTGAAAATAATCTCAGCTCAATTTAAATTCATTAAATGACCAGCAAAACTTACATATAGTTTATAGTTGGCTTTGGCCGAATTTACTGAATTTGGTTTGGAGCTCAATTGGGTTGTCTTCTCTCACTCAGAGACAACTATTAAACTTCTTGCCACCACTTGTCTATATCATGAGACTAAAAAAACAGAAAATCTCCTTTGGAAAAAAAAAACCCATAGCTTCATCTTAAGAACAAACAAGGAGGGAATATAATGGAGAGGCAGAGAATATTAAGTTTCTTCTGAAGTGTGCTGCCAAATTTTTTCTAAGACTCTATGCTTATAGGTTCTACATTCATAGACTAGTGCCTGTTTTCATGGTTCATCACAGGGATAGAGACAGAAACACACCAAGCTCTGGCCAAGAACTGTGCTTTTTAGCTTTCCAAACACAGTGTTCTTAAGTTATAAGAACTGAATATTTGAATGCTTGAAAACGTTTAGCTCTTTGTATTTTTTTTAATGCTAACATCTCTGGTTCTTGTTGCAAGTTTGCAAGTTACTGCTGGTGTTGTCCAGTTTATAAGCCACCTTTGACATGTAGAATACAAGTAGGTAAAGTAGTTAATTAGTGGCACCAGTGAATACTTGACTGGCAGTGGGAAAGCTCTGTTGGGAGAGATGGATTTCCAATGGCATTTATAAATATTTCAGTTAGTGTTGAACAGGCTCATTCAGGAGACACAACCTATGTATGGTCCTGAACATTCTCCTCTAGTCTTTTGAATCATCTTCTAAGGTACAGTAGATTAGAAATTTCCTTTCAGGGGCATTAAAATATAATCTCACCTCCCTTCACTCTATAGCAAATACTCAGTTCTCTGTAAATGTGTAAGCACTCGCGCGCGCACACACACACACACACACACACACACACACACACATGCACACACGCACACACACTCATGGAATTTAAGTGCAGTAATCCCAGCTCAACTGAAATTAAATGACCAGCAAAACTTCCATGCAGTTAGCAGTTGGCCGTAGCTGAATTTACATGGCTGGTCTGTTGTTATGTTAGAGCATAATTTTGAAGAAATAGTCTTTTGGGTAAAGTTAGCTGGATATCACAGTGTCCAGTGTGAAAGAAAGGGAGGCTTTCTGGTGTGGGCATGTGCCCTGGCTTGTGTTGTGAAAGCCTTGTGTTGTAGCCATTGTGTGAAAGTCATGGCAAACTATTCTTTTGAAGGATTCAGAGCCATAGTAGTAAAAAGGATTTTTATTTACACACCTAATTAGGGCCTTGTTTGCAAAGCACTGATTTTTTGCCATCATTTTTTTTGATTGTCTTAAATTCACAAGAGCTTGTGATTGATGAGTTCTATACTGCCAATTTGAGTGTTTATTTTTGGTTGTGTGGGGATGGGGAAGGAAAAAAAGAAAGAAAGAAAGAAAGAAAGAAAGAAAGAAGGAAGGAAGGAAGGAAGGAAGGAAGGAAGGAAGGAAGGAAGGCAGGCCAGGAGTGAGGCTCAGACCTGAAATCCAGTTTTCTCCATTGTACTGTACATTCAGATTCCAGCACAGGAAGCTTCTCCTGAAACAGACGGAAGTGTTTAAATGATGTAAAAGCAGATGGAGCTGGAATTCTCACCCCCATTCATTTCAGGAATTCCTACAGTAATTCAAATAGTAATTTTGAATTTATGTATTAGGTTTCCAAGATT